AATCATCAAAGGCTTGGGATGTAAACTCACCAGCATTATCAAGACAAATTGTCTTAATTGCATAATCTGAAAATTGTGCTCTTAGCTTTATTATTTGAGTCAGCAATCTCGCAAATGTCATATTGCGAGTTGATAGTAAGCACACATGTAACCATATTGTAGATGCATCTACCAAAACCATGTAATATTTGAATGGTCCACATGGAGGGTGAATGGGCCCACATATATCACCCTGTATACGTTCCAGAAATGTAAGGGATTTCATCCTAACTTTAATAGTTGATGGTCTAATAATTAATTTTCCCTGAGAACATGCAGCACAAGAGAATTCTTTAAATTGAAAAATCTTCTGATTCTTCATTGCATGTCCATGTGAATTCTCAATTATTTTATGCATCATATTAGAACCAGGATGGCCCAACCGGTCATGCCAAATAATAAAATTATCTTGATTAGTAAACTTCTCGTTTACTATGGCATGTGTTTCAATCCTGCTAATACTTGTGTAGTATAAGCCGGAGGAAAGAGCAGGTAACATTTCAAGCACATATTTCTTACCGGACATTATTGTAGTAATATAAAGATATTCAATCTTTTCATCATTTGTAGTCTCAATATGATAGCCATTTTGGCGAATATCTTTGAAACTTAATAAGTTTCTTTGAGATTTACTACAATATAGTGCTTCATCAATAGCCAAATTTGTTCCTCCTAGTAGTAATAAATTGGCTCTTCCAGAACCTTCAATTAATCTTGTACTACCGGATATTGTATTAACATTCGCTTCTTTCATTACCAAATAAGAGAAATATCTCTTATCTTTTAAAATAGTGTGTGTTGTAGCACTATCCAGAAGACATATATCATCTTTATTAATCTTGAGTCCAACTGAAGACTGGGGAATTTTCATATTCTTCATAAAAAAAATAATACATCATAAGAAATATGAAAGACAAGCGGAAAAAAAATTAAGAAATACATTAGGAATGTAGAAACTAGCAACACATGATGCATTAGGAAAATACACTCAAGAAAAATAAACTAGTTGCAAACATAAAAATAACAACTTTTATAGCTTCATTCCCCAGTAAGATGATTAGTTCTTCAGTCAATATCCTCAAAGAAGTCTCCAACTTCTAAATGAGTGATATTTGTTAGGCCTTCAAAATCATCATCTTTATATGCAAGATGTGCCTTAGAATCATATTTATTTGAGGGACCTGCTTCATCATCATTATTTTGAAAGGTCAAGTGTGCCTCCACATTATTTTCTTTTTTCTTGAGGGAGGCTTGATAAAGTTTGACAAAATGTTCTGGCGTACGACAAATGCGTGCCCAATGACCTCTCATACCACATCGGTGACACATACTAGCTTTACCTTTTGAATGATTAATTTGAGAACCCTTATTGTTCTCCAATTTATTTCCACCATAATGACGATAATTGTTTCGCCCCCTGCCACGTCCACGTTTACGACCATGTCCACGACCACGGTAATTATTTTGTTTTCTTTCAAACTTATCATATGTTGCTACAGCATTCACTTCCGGAAATGGAGCTGACCCAGTGGGACGGGCTTCATGATTTTTCATTAATAGAGTATTATTCTGCTCAGCCACAAGTAGGCATGTGATTAACTCAGAATATTTCTTAAAACCTTTTTCACGGTATTGTTGTTGTAGCACCACATTTGAAGCGTGAAAAGTAGAAAATATTTTTTCCAATAAGTCCTCATCTGTGATAGTGTCTCCACATAATTTTAATAGAGAACTTACTTTAAAGATAGCAGAATTATACTCACTTACGGTTTTAAAGTCTTGCAACCTTAAATGTATCCACTCATACCGAGCTTTCGGTAATACCGTAAGTTTTAGGTGGTCATATCGATCCTTCAAATTAATCCATAATTCAAGTGGATCTTTTACGGTTAAATATTCAGTTTTTAACCCTTCATGTAGATGATGACGAAGGAAAATCATGGCCTTCGCTTTATCCTGATTTGATGCTTCATTTCCTTGTATAATAGTATTTCCAAGACCTTTAGCGTCAAGGTGAATTTCAGCATCAAGAACCCATAATAAATAGTTCTTTCCGGTGATGTCAAGTGCTACAAATTCAAGTTTTGATAAATTTGACATAGTGAAAACTATCATAAAAGATGAATAAGTTAGAGAAATAATTATAATAATAAAAAATTAATGAAAACAAAACGATTAAGGTAAAAGAAATGAAAATAGAGTTATCTCATGTTAACAATCTACTATTTCATTTTATTCTTGCCATAAAGTAGAAATTACATACTTGTTTCATTTCACTTTATATTATTGATATATATGTGTTAATAGAATCGAACATGACTAACATTATTTATATGTTCCAATAAATATAAAGTAATTAAAAAATTATTGTTTGTCAATTCATTTCTCATAGTTTTTCAAAATGCCTTAAAGATATGTTTTGATTCAGGGAGTCCATGACATTAGTGCATAGCTAGTTTGATGACTTTGAGGTCCTCTAAGAGTTGAGCACGGAATGAAATAGTTATTTAATCACTGCAATGTACTTAAACTATTTAAGATGCTCAAGCGCACAAGTAATCTGCAAACAGTGAGCATATGATATGTACTGCCATAAATAAGATGATTATAATGATACATACCTTAATAAAATATGGCTCAACTTAGTGGGAGTTAAGAATAAAATTAGAGCTTCGTGTTGATAACGTGTAATAAAATAAAAGTAATGCAGTAAAATGTAAATAAGAAGAGATAGAAAGAAGGGAGAAGAGTTTTCTTCTTTCGCTTTGGTGTCTTTTTCCATTGCAATTACATGGCCTTTTATATGCATAAAAAGTAAAGATGATGGACATAAAGTAGGAAATTTAATCTTTAAGTTATTCACAATATGGGCATCCAATGTAGCATCTAATGTAGTATCCAAAGTAATATCTAATGTACAAACTATTCATAACAAAAAAGAATTAATGTTTGAATTTTAATTTACTGGTAGGGTTAGGGAAATAGGCATAACTCTTTTGGGCAAAGTGCACAAATTGCCCTTTTTAGGAACGTACGCAATTAGTCATAACTCTCTAGGGCAAAGTGCACAAATAGCCCTTTTCAGGACCCCTATTTAAGGAATAGTCAAAATTTACAAAAGATTTCAAGTTTAGTCACCTCATAAACAACAGAAGACATGTGGGTTTGACGGTTTAAAATTTAGAGCGACAGGTCTAAAATTGATCTTGTGAAAGCCTAACTACAGACCGCGAGTCTGAAGTTTTAAACGAGTTCAAATTCAAACTTGAGTTCTAAAGTTGGGATTTGGTAGAGCCCAACTTAAAATCCGTTGGTCAGAATTTGAACTTTGAAATTTAGACCCAAAATTCTAAGAATAAGAAGCAACAATAACATCGGGTTTAGTCTGAAGTTTACCAAAATTGGCTGCAAATAATATTTCCAATATTACTTATAGTACGTTTTAAACAGAGGTGCTACAAGCGGCTATCTGGTGTCGTCATTTCTATAACCCTCTGTCAATATGAAAAGTTATTTCGGTCATTTGTATTTATATCCGCTTTTTGGCTCACGTTTTAATTTGTACTTATTTTGCAAAAAAATTGCAAGTATACACACTTTTTCGCTTAACTTCAGCATACGGCCCTGAAGTAGCAAAAACAATCACGCAAACTTCAGCATTCTAGTAGACGGGCCTGAAGTAGCAAAAATTGCTGAACCAAGTGTGCTGAAGTTTTTGTTTGTAATTGCTGAACTTCAGCATGTTTTAGTTGAAGTTTTTCACATAAATTTAGTGTTGGCTGAAGTTTTTATTTGTAATTGCTGAACTTAAGCATGTTTTAGCTGAAGTTTTTCACGTAAACTTAGTGTTGACTGAAGTTTTTGTTTGTAACTGCTGATCTTAAGCATTCTAGTAGCTGAAGTTTTGTTCTCTATTTGCTGAACTTCAACATGTTTAAGCTGAAGTTTTGTTCTATATTTGCTGAACTTTAGCATGTTTTATGCTATCATGTAATTGATTTTTTGTACAGATAATAAATTTATCATAAGTAGAATTAGCAACTTAAAAAACTAGATAAATGATTTAGCACAACAGGTTAAAATGCATTGATAATGTACAAAGCTGAATCCAACAAGTTACTATNCGGGCTCAAGAATTTTTATGTGCTAACATACTCAATTTAGCTTTACAAGAAACAACTTTCACCTTAATAATATTTATCAAAACAACCCAAAAAATAGAAGTAAATAAATGCAAATTAATCATCCCTGATTGCGAGAACAAATAATGAGCTCCGTAATACGATTAAAATGCAAAAACATCGTCACTTAACAATGGTATCTTCATAGTTTCCACTCACAAAAGGAACTATGGGAAATAATTTCTTTTTTAATCATATAAAGGTACAAAAGAAAGTTTTAACTTCTATGCACCAACAGTGTAAAAGAAATTTTACCTAAAAAATAATTTGCACCAACAACAGCAGAAAGAAGAAGAAAACGAAAGAGGAGAAGGAGGGGGAGAAAGGGGGCGGAAATTGTTTAAAAAATAGGTACAAGTTAAAACTTTTAAAAAAAATGGGTAAAGATTAAATGGGGGCGACCAAATAAGACGTCCCGTGTAATTTTTACGGGTTTTTTTGGGTTGACTTGATAGAAGGCCCCTATGAGTTTCAAATCGCTAGCCCAAACTTGTCTGGCGGATTGGATCAGTAATAATATGTAAAAATGATATCAGGTATCTACTCTAAAGGATTGCTATTTAGGAATTAATCAATGTATCTTGAATTTTAGATTTTCAGTTCAAATTTTTAAGAAAAAAATGTACTGAAGTTAAGATTTATAGTTAAAATTTTATGACAAAATAAGTATTGGTTAATCTCTAAATAGAATCGCTAGGAATTGCTATCCGTGCACTTGCCCCCAATAATAACTGTATGGGCTAATTCTACAAACCCAAATTTGAATAGATTTTTCGGCCCATTAATTTGCGTAAGAATCTCGTCTTGGGTCAGGTTGTCGCATTTCTCCCTGGACGGCGAACTCTCTAGAATCTCCTTCTCCCGTCGGCGAAATCGTTCCGATCTCTTTCTCCGGCGAATTCCACTCGTAAGAAACTCTCCAATCTGTCTTCTATTCTAATATTCTTTTCTTTTGTACAATTTAAACTGATTCTATAATCAAATTTTCTTCCCGTATTGTTTTAAATTTAAGCTGGCATTACATGCTGATTGCTTGTATGAAAAATCAGTGTATTAATTAATGCAATAAAAAGGTGGAACCTTTATCATTGTTTTATGGGTCTTGCTCTTGCATCACTTTAGTGGAACTTCGCGATTATCAAGTCATTTTTCCATTCCTGCTAATTATATATTTTTTTTAAAAGGTTTCCTGCTAATTATATTAAAATTCCAGGTTTCAGTTTTTTTTTCTTCTCACGGGCCATAAGATCAAGGTTAGTTTGTTAGATTACTTGTTAATCAATATCTCTAATTAAAAGTGACTAATAAGTAGCAATTATTAGTTTCTTTTTCCTTGGAGGGAGCAATTGATAGGAACGTGTTGATGTCGAGAATTATGGTAGAAGGTTAGTAGGCAGTCGTGTGTGTGTCTTTCCCGTACCAGTAGGATTTGTATTTAACCTTGTATTCTATTATTGGTAAATACCTACGACTACATGTTGTTAATTACGTTTGTTTTCTTAATTAAATTGTTGTTGCTACTGCTTTCTTTTCATCTTTTCTTGATCCGGGGGTCTATCGGAAACAAGGTAGGGGTAAGGTTTGCGTACAACCCACTTGTGGGATTATATTGGATTTTTTTTTTTGTTGTTGTTGTTGTTGAAGGAGCAATTATTATTAGTTCTTAAAGGGTGCACTGTATAGTGTATACTACATCCAGGAGTTTGCTAATCTTGTTTGATTGTGTAAATTGATTCTGAATTGAAAAATGACCCCTGAAATTATGTAGTGAATTAGTTGTTAGAGATGTGGAAGAAGAAGTGGGAGTATGATAACTTCAGCTTATTGATACCATCAAATATACTTTAGCTTGTTGGTCTACAATCTCAGCGGAAGCTAAAAATTCTGTCTAAACCTTGATGAGAAGAATTACCCGGTGCTTGTGTTGGTGGGCCAGTAGCAGGTATCCGGTGAATAGCCGAGGTACGCGCAAGTTGGACTGATACCACCATCATTGGAAAAAAAAAAGAGAGAGAAGAATCATGTTGGTCTAATGAATCTGCTTGTAGCACATTGGATATCCTTCCTATTTTGCATATCCATGTTACAACTGGCAATACATGGTGGTTTAACAAAATGATTGTTTATGCTGATACTTGAAGCTAATTCTAATATTAAAACCATAAATCAAGCTTTCCTTGCCAATTCACTGATGAAGACAAGCTTGGGGTTCACGATTTTCGCCAGAAATAAAAAAAACAAAAGGAATTTGATGTTTTCGGGATATGAAGAGACGTGAATAGTTTTCTGTTTTTCAAGTTTAATTAGTGCCTGAAATGGGTAAATGTTGTCCTTTGATTATGCTGTGTAGTGCCAGACTTGTTTGAGGATCCTTGTGGGATTTGAGGTCTGCAAATAGGCAATAAGTTAACATAAGAAGACAGGAAAAGGATAAACTCTGGGTGTTGCACTCGGGGTTCTTTAGCTTTTAGTTGGTATCATCCATCTTCTCTTGTAGTTGTATATTTTAGAGACTCACGCAAATCAAATATGGAGTTCAAACTCGTCCTTACATCATTTGACCTTTATCTGGGTTGTCAGCTCAATCCAACTCTTTCACAAATTTAAACCTTGAAGCGCCAGTTAGGTAGTAATTGTTGTTTTTGATGACTTGATGGTCGATTGCCTAGTATCCCCGCGGAAAGAAAAAAAACTGAAATGATACATTATTCTGCGTTACTCGCAAAAGGAGGGGTTATTGATTTTCTTATCCTGGTGAATTGTCACCTATTATACCTAGATAGGAACAGGGAGAAATTACCTCCTATTTTCCATCTAATGTTAATAGATTGCATTTATTGATTTTACTTCCTGACTTGGATCTAGTTAGTTGGTTAACTTCAACAGGTAAATTTTGTTTCTTTGTTGCTGATATTTAGTCGTGATACAGAGTTTGGTCTCATCCCTAAGCAAATGGATGGGATGAGCGGACTGTCTTAGCCTCTTACTTTGGTTACTCTTTGTCATAAACGTAATGTTAGCCTTGTGTTTGGTGGGCTCTTAGTCTTCCCAACAAGGTGTTATGGGTCAAAAAGTACATATTATCATTGGATGTGTTTAATGAATTGAAACCACCTAGGCTTGAAGAGTTTCAAAATCACTTTTAGTCACAGAAAGAAATTGAGCTTTTGAGACAATTTTTCTAAGTGAAACCTTAGGCACTAAAAATTTTCATGATCGACTTATTGCGACAGAGTGCGGGCTCCCAATAGCTTTTACCATGAGAAAACCTCTTATTAGTGCCGTGAGGGTTTTATTATAATCAAAGCATAAAATTTACTTCACAAAGTAAATTGTGGGATTACACTGGGTTTGTTGTTGTTGTTGAAAGTAAGTTTAATTGTGATGTGAGTCCGTGACAGTCCATGGGAAGAAACGTTCTAATCTATATCTTTCTTGTCAAAGTCAAACTAAATTAACTTGCAGAGATATTGGACACCTTACTGCTCATTGGTGGGAAACCTTCCCTTGAAGCATAGATCACTAGACCATAATGACCCTCATCAGAAATGCGCTAAAACAATAGGTAATATAGGTATAAAAAAGTTAAGCAAATATGGGAAAGAGGGACAATAGTTGCATTAGTTGTGGTCCCAAAGAGTCAATAGTAGTAGCTAATGGCAGAATCAGGTCACCAAGGTTCAAAACATAATTTCCCGAACTCTGTGTCAAAAACATATGTTGCTTTTCTTCCAAAATTCTTTTGTCTGATAAAACTGTTACAGAAAGTACTCGGATAAAAGCTTTTTTTCCAACTTCGTAGAGTAGGAAAACGTAGTAAAAGTATCAATATATCTCCTTCTTGGAACTATCAACTTTTAAGCATCCCCCTCAAATTGCTGCCTCTAGGAAGTTTGAATATGCTACTTATATAAAAAAGTTATTATTTGATTGTGCTACCATGAGGGAAAAGACTAGGCTTGCAACCTGCAGCTTATAGAAATACTCACTTTCACTGTGTATTTTTTTCGCAAGGCTCTTTTTTCCTTGTATTCTGTTAGTAACTTTTAGTTGTTCTGTCTAATATGTATGTATGGTAATAGTTATAACTTATAACTACTGACTCCTTTTATTGACCTCCTTGTGTACATTTAGTTGTGGTGCCTTCATAGTAGAGAATCATATAGATGGCAAAACAACATAGAAATAGTTCTTCTCCGTTCCATCAAGAATGTTTTCATCCTGCTTGTCTCAAACAGTGAAGTGTAATGATGTATGAGTTTTCTGCCTGTTAATTTTGCTGCTACTGCTATAACTGCTGATTTGATTTAATCTAATACCATGACCAACACAGCCCTCTTTATATTTATGCAGAACTGGGGAAGAATGGGCCGCAAAGCTGGGACTTTATATATTAATCCAAGGAACTTCGGAAGCCTCCAAAAACCTTGCGCGAAAGAAATGGTCACATTTCTTAATTGTTTGACTTTAAATCACAATAAGGACGAGAAATGTAGCAGGCAAAAATCACTTTTGAGTACCTGCATGGAAGCTCAGGTAATTGGATGCCTGTTCTTTAGTTGAGTGGTGAATATTGCTTTTTCCTTTTACTTTAGTATGGTTCTTAACAAAAGCTAATGAATAAGCTTCCACATACATTGTATATTATTATATAAAAAATTATTTATTTCTTGATTAAGCATGTGTTAAAATCCTATTATCTTGCCTTTCACATTAAGATTTATTGTGATATACCTATTTCTGCAGAGTGGCAAAAACAGAAAGCCATGGGGTAGCATCAATTATCACCTTCAGAGGCTTAGCAGGGGTAGGAAGTAACTTGAATCAAGTTACATCTGCATTATTCAAACTGGCACGGTTGTGGCTTTTTGGCATGTTTTGAAATTAGTTAATCAGATGGGTTCTTCCAATTTCTCAACGAAGGTCTGTAATTTCTGACGAATAGCATGAATTTAGACTCGAAAAAACCTCGAGGAACATCTTTTATTGTCTGTTTCAGTATGTGGATTTTTTTAACCTTTCGTTAGTAGCTTAGAAAGTTGTTAACCGTCCCTAGGTTTCAGCTTATCTCTACCACAATATCTGTCGGTCTTATAATTTGTGTTGGCAGGAAGGGATTTGTTTAAATTGAGAAATATTTTACCATTTACATATTGTTTGGTGTTATTGCATTAGTAACAATTGGTTACTAAAAATGGTTTAGTCATTCTAATTTGTCAAAATGGTTTTATGACCTTATATGTCGAGCGAATATTCATATATGCCAAAGGCTCGCGTTAAATAAGTTCCAATTCAAATGACTTCTGAAAAGATATTAGAGCCCGTTGACTACTATAACGTTCTATGTCCGTCACCAATTTTCTCTTATGATTCATAGACCATTAGAAATGTGAGGCTGATATAAACACCATTCTTAGGACTACTATTTGGGGATTATCTAGTACTTATTTTGTCTTGAAATGTTGAACTAAAAATCTTAATTTAAGACAATTGAAGATGTTTGTGTACGAAAATTAAATTGAAAAACTGAAATTTAGAATACATTAGTTAATTCCTAAATAACAATAGTTTAGAGTGGTTACTTGTGTCATTTTTACCAAAAGAAGGCTACGACACTGCTTCCAAGATTTTCATAATGACTTGGGAACAGAAATAATTAATCAGCCAACTCAGACTCTAAAATCTTGATGTAGCACTATGCTTTCCTACGATATTTTCTTCCATTTCCAAGATGATGTCTGAAAAAAAAGGGCCCTTATTAACTGCATCCTTCCATTAATGTTTTACAAGAATGATTTGAATTTGGATGCTGTCACCGGCTAGCCCTTTGAATATTTCCATATTAGATGCGCTATTTCGCATTGAGTTTGTTTTTCTAGCTGGTGAAAGAGTTATTAATTATTTTTTATTGAAGTAAATTTTTGTTTCTCTGGTTAACTTGCAAAATGTGCCTAGTTTTTTTCATTACAGTACTTTATTTTCACTCATGTTAACTTGCAAAATATGTCATCTAAGACATTAGTCCAATTCAAGTCTTAAGGAACAGAAAGCCCAAAACTTGAGCCATCTTCACTATACAACGTTGTGGGGATAGAGTCCTACGAGTGACCCAGAGAGCCAACATACTTCTCTCTTCGAAGTACGAAAAAAATAAAACAAATATTCGAGAATAAAATTGCATCCAAAACACTTAAGTAAGAAGATAATAGCTAGAGTAATATACTTGCATAGAAAAATAACTAATAACTAGACATTGACAATGCAAAATCGATCACGCTATCTTAAAGCCATCAAAGATGAAAATTCAACAGCATACTATTCTCGAAAAACCAATATACTACCCAATTAACCATTGCAAAAGTATAAAAAGTACCCAATATAAGAAGTACTGTACTAAAATGGAAAACGAGCACAGATCACTTCAAATACTTAGTCGACCTCCTCAATCTTGGGGCCTGCACCGCTACCACCTGCTGGAGGAGCATCATCATCCATAGGTGCACCTGCTTCACCACCAGCACCCTGGTACATCTTGGCAATGATGGGGTTGCAGATGCTCTCGAGCTCCTTCATCTTATCTTCAAACTCATCAGCTTCAGCAAGCTGGTTGCTGTCAAGCCATGAAATTGCCTGATCAATGGCATCCTCAATCTTTTTCTTGTCGTCTGGGCTTAGCTTAGAACCAATCTTCTCATCCTTTATAGTGTTCCTCATGTTGTAGGCATAGTTCTCCAGTGCATTCTTGGCCTCTACCTTCTTCTTGTGTTCCTCATCCTCTGCCTTGTACTTCTCTGCTTCCTGGACCATCTTTTCAATTTCTTCCTTTGACAACCTACCCTTGTCATTGGTAATTGTGATCTTGTTCTTCTGTCCAGTGGTTTTGTCTTCAGCAGAGACATTCAAGATGCCATTGGCATCAATATCAAAGCAGACTGTGATCTGAGGCACACCCCTAGGAGCAGGAGGAATACCAGAGAGCTCAAATTTACCCAGCAAGTTGTTGTCTCTGGTTCTTGCTCTTTCACCCTCGTACACCTGAATCAACACTCCAGGTTGGTTGTCAGAATATGTAGAAAACACCTGCTCTTTCTTGGTAGGAATGGTGGTATTCCTAGGAATCAAGACAGTCATCACACCTCCTGCAGTTTCCAAACCCAGAGATAGAGGGGTGACATCCAAAAGCAACAAGTCTTGAACCTTCTCGTTACCCTCTCCACTTAGAATGGCAGCTTGCACTGCAGCACCATAGGCAACAGCCTCATCTGGGTTGATGCTCTTGCAAAGCTCCTTACCATTAAAAAAGTCTTGCAACAGCTGTTGTACTTTGGGAATTCTAGTGGATCCACCAACAAGAACAACATCATGTACAGTGCTCTTGTCCATCTTGGCGTCCCTCAAACATTTCTCAACTGGCTCCATACACTTCCTGAAAAGATCCATGTTCAACTCCTCAAATCTAGCACGAGTAATGGTGGAATAGAAGTCAACTCCCTCATACAAGGAATCAATTTCAATTGTTGTCTGGGCAGTGGAAGAAAGAGTTCTCTTCGCCCTCTCACATGCTGTTCTCAATCTTCTAAGGGCTCTTGGGTTACCGGTAATGTCCTTCTTGTGCTTTCTTTTGAACTCCTGGACAAAGTGGTTCACCATTCTGTTATCAAAATCTTCACCTCCAAGGTGAGTGTCTCCTGCTGTGGCTTTCACCTCAAAAATACCTTCTTCAATAGTAAGGAGGGACACATCGAAAGTACCACCACCTAGATCAAAGATAAGAACGTTCTTCTCACCGACACTTGTGGCTTTCTTGTCAAGACCATAAGCAATGGCCGCTGCTGTGGGCTCATTAATAATACGCATGACATTCAAGCCAGATATGACACCAGCATCCTTAGTAGCCTGACGTTGTGAGTCATTGAAGTATGCAGGTACAGTAACCACAGCATTTTTCACAGTTGATCCAAGGAAGGCCTCGGCAATTTCCTTCATCTTTATAAGCACCATGGAAGAGATTTCTTCAGCAGCAAACTGCTTCTCTTCACCCTTGTAGTTGACAACAATCATTGGCTTGTCACCAGGCCCGGAAATAACCTTGAAAGGCCACAATTTGATGTCACTCTGTACAGAGGCATCGCTGAACCTCCTTCCAATAAGCCTCTTGGCATCTGCCATTGTAAAAACACAGTAAGCACAGATTCAATCACATGAAATTTTGCTTCAAAAATATTTAAACCAAAAGTTAAATCCCCCTTCCTCAACACACACAATATGCATGAATGACAACTATAGCACAAAGAGTAACATAACAGCAAAAGATCATCAAATTCAGGAAAGCAGTAAGAATCGATGACAGCACAGATATTCATGAATATTAAACAAGTAGCAGTTCAAAAAATACATATTAAAGCATGAAGGTGCCGGGTTTCATCTGAAACCAATATTTCAGTTAAGGAGCAAATTAAATTTAATTGCAATAAGTAGTAGATATGAACCCATAGCTTTAAAAATACAACAGGTTCAATGGTAAGAACCTTAAGGTTTAAACCATGCACCTTAATATGGATATGTCTAGCAAACATGAACATGAAATTACGATAAAACCATTGGCATACGAATTAAGACATGGGGCTGCATCGACGGCATTCATCTAAACATCTAGATTAACTCATATATAGATAGTTGATAGTTGTGCTAGTAGTACTTTCGCTACAAGTGGCTCAAAATCCTAGATCAACAATTGGTTAGAAATAATTCATAACAAACACAATTCTAGAACAGTTAGCTTCATCAAACAAGATATAATACGTATTAACACTATTTACCAAAACAATTACTACATACATTAATAATTAATAATACTATTAACAGAAACAAGGTCATTATACAATAGGTCAACATTCACTCTAGATCTAACAACAGCTCTACTATTAAACAACAACAAAACAAGCTAAAATCACAAACAGCAAAACTAATTAAGATCTAACAGCAGATCTGAGCTCAAAACTTACCGAAGACAGTGTTAATAGGATTCATAGCGACTTGATTCTTAGCGGCATCACCAATGAGACGTTCAGAATCAGTAAATCCAACATAAGACGGCGTCGTCCTATTCCCTTGATCATTAGCAATAATCTCAACACGATCATGTTGCCATACACCGACACAAGAGTAAGTAGTTCCGAGATCGATTCCGATCGCCGGACCTTCACCTTTTCCGGCCATTACTTAGCTTTTTGCACTATACACCAACGTAAAAACGAGACTCAAAAAAGAGAATGTGAAGACGGCGGAGAGAAAGTGAGGGAATAAAGAATGTGTTAGGGTTTGATGAGAGGGGGAGGGGAAAGGAGAGGAGTATTTAATGGGCTGTGGTTATTGGTTCTAGAATGTTCTTTTGTAACTGGATCTGACCAATCACAATCCACAGGGGTATGCAGTGTCATTGTTGGACAAAGAATCAACCACTCCTTTTAGTGGGCCCCAAACCGACTCTTATATACGCGCTCCCCACGAAGTTTACGTGAATTTCTTGCATTAATCATGTGGTTACAAGTGTAGAGTAAAATGGACCTCATAATTCATATTCATCCATAAAAATTGCACGGGTCGTCTTATTTGGTTGCTCTCATTTAATTTATACTCATTTTTTAAAAAAATTTTAACTTGTACCTAATTTTTAAACAACTTCAGCCTCTTTTCTCCTCCTCCTTCTCCTCCTTCGTTTTCTTCTTCTTCTTTCTTCTGTTGTTGTTGGTGCTGCTATAAAACTTCAGCTCATGGGGATGATTGCTATAAGTATGTTTATCAGATTATTTAAAAACAAATTATAAATAACTTTCTAAAGTTGGAATTATTTATTCAATTTTATTCAGAGTCGCCACTTGGAATATTTTAATTGGTGTCTCAAGTCACCGTTTTATTTTAAATCTCAAATCGAGGAAGTTTCGACTTTCCTTTTGAAGTCTGCGAACCAGAAATTCTAAATAAGAAATTCTGTTAACCCGAGGGAAGGTGTTAGGCACCCCGGGTTCCGTGGTTCTAGCACGGTCGCTTAAACTATTACAATTGGCCTATTATCTGATTTTATTACATATTTTAACTTATTAACCGCTTTTAATTAATTTTAAAGAAGATTTAACGTCGTTTAAAACATGTCATCGGATCGCGTC